TTACTTTTATTAATAAACATATATGAAAAAAGGAACAGTCACATAAAACAAGAACTCATTTAAAGCAGTTCGATTCGTTGTAAAGAGAACAAACCGCAAAATTGTTTTTTTCTTTCAAACGATTTTTATATAAATATACTTAATTTAGAATTTTTTTTTACGATTTATTACAACGTTAGTAACATTGCAATTGTCTTAATATATGTAAATAGTAAAAAAGAATTTTGAAAATTTCTTACTTTAGGGGGGCAGGGAGGAGGGCAACATGGTGGACAACATGGCACACAGCATGGCACGCAGACGCAGGGTGCACAACATGGTACACAGCAAGGGACACATGGGGCACAGCAAGGTGCACAGCTAGGTGGGCAGCAAGGTGGAGGGCAACAAGACATGTTGTTCGAGGATTATCGGTTACTTATACACTTAAAAAATTTAGAAATTTTGTAAATTTACGGAGCGATTCTAATTGCGACCTTTCGCGTGTACGTATTATAAAATAATAATTCACATAACCATAGCGACCTGAAACTATTGTTTTCTTACGGTACACTAGACTATTATCAAAAATAAAAGTTGTTGATTGAAATAGAATTAAATTCAATGGAAGCCCATAAACCTCTTTGGATATAGTTTTATTTTATTAAGACAGAATAACCACTCAGTTTAATAGTAATCCTAATTAATATTACAAATGTAAATGTGAGTTTGTTTGATACTATTTCGCGATTTAACAACTCAACCGAACATCATAAAATTTTGTATACACATTGTTAGGGGAAGAGGAAAGGATATAGGGTACCTTTTGTCTAGAAAAGATACTGCTCCTGATGGATAGAAAGAAATAGTTTTATGTGATTGTCGATGATCTTTGACACGTATTTAGGACATCAACGCAGTTACTTATACAAGTCCTTTTAGATAGATTTTAGCACAAACACTGTCCTATAAATACATAAATTTTTACGTTACAACCTGGGCAGCTATTGAAAAGTTGAAATGAGCAAGAAAAGTTGTTGTGAACCTAGATTTTTTTAGAAATCAATCTTTAGTTTTTGAGCAGATGTTTCTTTTTGTAAATACACATTATGTAAAACCTTTTATTTTAAAGCAAACCCTTGAAGCAAAACATTTTCCTTTCCTTTTTTTTAAGCGTATACCTTGAAGGAATTGCATCAATTTTTGGAAGCAAAACGTAAGGCTTCTTTTTATAAATACTACATATTGTCTAGGGTATAAGAAAGAAGATAGGGTAGGTCATCATCATCATAAGGTCGTCAGTCCTAAGATTGGTTGGACACGTACCTCCACTCTTTCCTATCCTGAGCTAATCTTCGCATTTCCCTAAAAGTAGAACAACCCACATCCTTAACTATTTGCGAATCTATCATCTAATCTAGGTGTACCTCTACCCGTCTTCACTCCCGTTTCTGCCTCTAATATGTCTCTGACTAGACATTCATGCCTGAGAAGGTGTCCTACCAACCTATCTCGCCTATTTTTTATTGACTTCCATAGAGTCCTCTGTTCTCCTATTCTTTCCAATACCTCTTCATTTCTAACCTTTTCTACCCACGATATCCTCATCATCCGCCTATAACACCACATTTCGAACGCTTCTAACCTTTTCTTTTCCGCCGCTCCCACTGTCCATGTTTCGCACCCGTACAACGCCGTGCTCCAAACATACACCTTTAACAACCTTTTTCGAATTTCTAAATTAACCGTTCGCGAGCATAGAAGTGACTTCTTTTTATTAAAGGCGACACGACCCTGCGCTATCCTCTGCTTTATATCCCTACTACTCCTTCCATCCTGACTTATCTGACTTCCTAGGTATCTAAAATCAGCCACTTCTTCTAATTTTTCGTCTCCTATCTTTATATTCGCCCTTTTCCTACTTTTTCTTCCCTTTCATACCAGTATTTTGGTTTTACTTTTATTTATTTTCATACAGTACTGATCTGTCAGTACCGCTTCCATTTTATTTAAAGCTAGGGTAGCCATCTGCCTTTTATTCAGAATAAAATACTATTCCCAAGGGATTGAAAATCATTAGTTTATGTGGTCGTCGATCGTCTTTGACTCATATTTAGGACATCAACGTGAGCGAAGCCGTAGATAAAACCTATCCAGTTAAATGCACATTTTTAGGGTTAAAGCAAAGGAAATAGGGGACTTTTTATCCAAAAAAAAATACTATTCTCGAGGGAATGAAAATGAATTAGTTTTATATGGTCGTCAATGTTCTTCGATCAACGCGAGCGAAGCCAATATATAAAACCAATTATTTATGTCAAAAATGTTTTCATAAAATTACGTGTAATAATTATTATTTATTACAATCCAAATCAGTTATCGTTTGGGAGCGTTCTCGAACCTTCTATAAAATTCTAAAACATTTTCGAACCCTGTAGATGTAGGGCATTTAGGACAAAACGGTGACATTCTGTAATTCTCAGACCAGACATTGGAATCCAATTAACACCTTTACTAACTCTCTACGTGAACTGCTTTGGGGCCTTAGTCTTTTAACCCCCATATATTTGAACCTAACCCCTACGCATCTGAAAACCGAGACCTTCTGGAATGCTATCGTATAATATAACCCTCATGAGGTTGCGGGATTCGGTTACAGAGGTTTAGCGGCACGTACGGACAAAGTACAGTTACTTTTATTAATAAACATATATATTAGGGTGCTTCAAACAAAATTTTTAATTTTTTTTTCTAACTCTTACCCCCTCAAATGTTTCTATTTGTTGTAAAAAAAATCCTCGCCAAACATGAGCCCTATAGCTCAAATCTAAGGGGTCGCTATTTTTATTTTAGTTTCCCATTTAA